TCCCACCTCAGCCTCCCAAAGTGCTGGGATCACAGGCATGAACTACTGTGCCTGGTTGGAAGCAATATTTTAAAACCTGGAATTTAAACAACAGGGCACTAGCTGTGGAATATACACCTACTCAAGAAGGAAGAATGGCAAGATATCATCCCGACCCCCTTGGTGGGCTGGATGGAGCAAATTCTGCAGGAACGAGGCACCTCAGAGGACTCTCTGGCTGAGAACAGCATCCTGACCGGACAGCAAGCCCCAGAGAGTCTGGGGGAATCCAAACCCATCCCTGCACAGCTTTGCTATGAACCAGGTGGGAGGAAGGGAAGATGGGAAAGACGGCGGAAGGCCTTGGGGCCAGTGCGCATGAAATTTGAGGGCTAAGCATTTGTCTGGATGGCAGCATCAGCGGGGCCGGGGGCATTCTGCTGTCTGTCTCCCTGAATTCACAGCTGGAAAGTTGATCCAGACCATGCAGACTCACTCACCTCACTCCAAGCCCTCATTACAGGGTTCCACTTGCTACTGCCTTTCAGGTCTGGGCACCAATTCCAGAAACCTGGACCTGATATTCTCCAGAAGGGTCCTGCTCTGAACCACACAGGGCCAGGGGCTTTATCCAGATCACCAGACTCGTTTGGCAGATGAGGGAAATGTGGCTCAGAGATGCCCAAAAATTAGCCACAATCATAGAGCTGACAGTGGGCAGAGCAGCGATAGGAACAGGATCTGCCTGACCCAAAAACCCACGCCCTTCCCAGAGCATCCATGGCCTCACAGGGGCCCTGCCTTTCCCTGCCTGCTTCAACCTCCTTGGCCTCCCACATGGCATTCACCAACCAATCTGCCTGCTTGGCCAGGCCTCCCCTGTCTTTTCCACTCATCTCACACTTTAAGCCCACCTCCTTCAGGAAGCCCTCCCTGCTCCTCTCCTCATAACAGGTATTAGATATGGCTACTCCTACATACACACACACACACACACACACACCATCCAACCCAGATTATACACAATCCTACATAATTTTCCAAAAGTTTCTCTACTAAATCACTCCGCTGTACTCTACCAGGTACCTGTAGTAACAGTGGGCATACAGCAGGTAGTCGATAACTATTCTTTGGACTTGAACTAAAATTCAACCCCTTCCTTCTGCCACATTCTTGCATCAAGGACTTCAGCCTGAAACCAGGGCAGGCATGAAGAGAAGCCGACTTGGGGCTGCAGTCTAAGTGCCTTTACCTGACAGCTCCACATGAACAGACCAGTCAGGGCCCTTTGCTCCTGGTCAGGAGGCCCCAGGAGGGAAGGCTGCATTCCAGGGAGCTGAAGTCAGGGAGGCCCTCAGCAAACACTAACTATGATGATGACGTAAACATCATTTCTCAAGGCACTAACTGAGGCTCCAAGGATAAATGAAGGTTGGTGTGCAGAGGAGAATGGGTGGCTGGTGCTCTGTCTGAGCTGTGCTAGCCCAGTGATGAAGCCTTGGGCTGGCCCCTCGCCTTCCTGCCTTCACTTCCTCCCACTGGATTCCGCATCCTCCAGATCCCAGCCTGGATGTCCCACAGGTTTCCTAGGAACCTCCCTCGGGCCTGCTCCATCAGGGATGCAGTGGGTGGAACTACCAAGCACGGCTGCAGTCTGCCTGGTGAGGTGCCCCGAGCAGGTAAGCAGGTGTGAAACCCTGCGGCTGGGGCTGCAGCCTCGTGTTTGTGTTCACAACCAACTCAGGCAGTTTTTGGTTTCACATTTTCCTTCATTTTCCCTTGAGGAGCACCTCATACTGGGAATCCCAACCCCTTCACCAGGAGCTCTCATGCTCCCTGGCCCGCAGCACCAGGCTGGGAGTTCCTGCAAGTCAGAACCCAAGCTGATCCACTCCGAAGAGTTCAGCAAATGCTGGGCTGGTGCTCTAAATGACACATTTGAAGTTTGTCATTCATTTCTAAAGTAATATATATCCATTAAAGAAAATTTGGAAAATGCATAAAAGCAAAAATATAACATAATACAATAAGCATCACCTATAATTTTACCAGCTATAGATGTCTGTTTCTTACATTCTGGCTTTTCTTTCAGGCTTTTCTATGCCTCTATACTTTAAAAACAAACAAATAAATGAACACCAAAGCAGATTATATTAAGCACTGTTTGGATACCTGCTAAGCCAAGGCAGCTCTGTGTGATGCTATTCCCCTAAGCCTTTAAGTATTCCTCATGTTTTCTAGCAATTACCCAGAGTGAAATCATACCACATCCACTGAAGTAGCTAATCAATTCCCCCTTGCTGGGCATTGGAGTCGCTTCTAATTCTCATTACTTCACACAATACACCCCAGTCACAGTGGTAGCTCCATCTTCACGATCCTCCTCAGAGCCAGATTAAGAACTGGGAGGCCTCCAAGACTGGAAATATTTGCTGCAGTCCCGCCACAAGGTGCACATGAAACACAGGGGTTTTCCTGCTTTGCTTGAAGTATTACATTAATTTTCAAATGTATGTCTTGCTTTTGGGGGATAGCTCTGCTCTGCTGGCGCCTCCCACACAGACTGGATCTTCCTGATGTCACTGCATAGCTATGACTATTACCGCTGGGTAATTTTCAGGAGCAGGAATATCAGGATCAAGGGTTCTCCAAGTGTGGGGTTTTGTGGCCCGTTGCGTCTGTCCCGCTCACCACAGAATCCATCACCTGTCACACACCTGCCCTTAATAAACCTCTGTTGAATAATGGATTATGCCAAATGTCCCTCCCCCGCCCCCACTTGGCTGTACGATGGAAATGGTATGCAATTGGACAATAGATGAACCAGGGGTATAACGATCTTGGGGACAGATGTCTTGGGCCCTCAAGTGTGCCTGAACCCCAAGGATTTGGGGCAAGGGGAGACTGTCTCTGTTCCTGTGTGACTGGAGGGTGCCGCTCAGAAAGTCCCAAGTTGCAGAGCCGGAGAACCAACACCACACAGCCAAGGAAGTGCGGCTGACACAACCTGAGGCAGGGCCTGAAGCGACTTCCTCTCTCCTCTGGACTCACTTTCCATATTCATAAAATGTGCACAATGAAATATGCAGCTCCTCTTTCTGCTGCTGCCACTGCCCCTGGGTGTGACCCCAGCTGCCTCTTTGACAGCTCAGGGGCTCAGGCTCTGGCAGAAAACACAACTAGGGCCCTCTGCATGGTGGCCAGGCTGGTGTGACCTGCTGCTAACCTGCTCTTCCAGCCTCATCTTCTGCAGCGCCCTTCCCGAAGGTCAGTCGCAGGCTGGCCACCCAGCTGCTCCCATTCCCTGACAGGTCCGAGGCTGGCCACTCTTCTCTCCAAGGTGCCCCCACCCACCTGTCTATGGAAATCCCACCCATCCTTCCACATCACTCCTTGCCCCTCAGAGCCTTCCTGAAGGCATTCCTTTCCAGGAACCTGGTTTGCATTATATGCCATGGCCTCTGTGACAGCATCCCAGGTGAGTGTGCAGGTGTGTCACCTCTGTGAGAGCAGTTGCCATGGCTGGGTTCCCCAGCAGGGACTGCTGAATGACCAAGAATGATGGGAGAGGGGCGGTGTGCTGGGGTTTGTTTCAGTCTGTTGATTACCCAAACTGAGCCCAGTGACATTACAAAGCCAGAAACACAGAAATGCACACAGAACTGAAGATTCGAGGGTAGAGGATGCTTAGCCACCAAGACCTTACACATGGTAGAAACGTGCAGAATCCTGAGGTGTGGGCAAAGCCTTTGCCAGGCCCCTCCCAGAACTGTACCCTGCACTGGGACAAGCCCATCACTTCCCTCTGCTCACTCTACTTCCCTCTTAAAACAGGCTCTTCTTTCAGGTGAGCTTGGCCTGCTCGTTTCTGCAGCAGTATCTGCCCACAGGGCCACCCCCCTTAAGACTGACTGCCCCAGCCACCCTGCCCCACCCAGTGCCAGCCCACCAAGCACCTGGCACAGCAATTGAACTCAGGAAGGAACCCTTTTAAGGCAGCTCCATACCTTTCTTCTAAGAAGCTAACCCTGACTGCTTTGGCCCCTAGAGATCTCTTGCTCCCCCAGCCCCTCAGAGCAGCTAGTCTTTGTACCACATTTGTGTGATGTTGATCAATCAATGTACCATATTACAAGATTGGGGTTTATTCCCCCATTTTTCCAAGGAATGCACGTTTGATGGTAAAAGCAGGGCTGGACAGAAGCGGACAATATACTGGGATGACCAGCGGGCAGCTCCAGACCAAAATAGCTGAGCCTCCAGACACAGTACTGCACTCTGTTGCTGGCAGGCCCAGCAAGGCTGTGGCCTGGGATGAGGTGGTCCCCCACAGCGGAGGCCTCCCTGGAAATTGACAGCTAGAGCTATATGCTGGCCTTACTCCCTGCAGCCAAGCAAGGCCTTCCCTGGCAGGGGGCATGGGGGCAGCTCTTGGTGGCACATATCAGGTCCACCACAGGCAGGAAAGGAAGATTTTTAAAACAACCTAGGGCCGGGTGCAGTGGCTCATGCCTATAATCCCAGCGGGCACCTAGGCAAGGCAGCTCAGCTCTGGCTAAAATGCAGATCTGACCATCTGACCTGCCCTGCTCAAGAGCTGACCAGAGTCCCCCACCCCTGTGCCCCTGTCCTGTCCATCCTTCAAGCTCAGGTCAGTTGTCACTCCTTGTGCCTGACACCTCTTGTTGAACACCATCTTCTCTCCTGGTGGTTACCCATTTGCTCTTGGTTTAGAGATGGCGGTGCCCACACTCCATCCCCACAAGAGACAGTGAGGTCCTCAAAGGAGAGACTGCCCAAGGCCCATCTGGTGCACCCTGACCCACGAGAAAGGATTTATGTACGTAGGTGGAGTGATTGTCACATAATTAATAACTGAGTCTATGAGTGAGTATGCCCAGAAATCAGTGAGTCAATCAATTAGTAATGAAAAGCTCTCTAAATGTGCAGCTTACATCGTGAATGAATGATGGGTTGGTTGAATAGGACACTGTTTAGATTCAGGGTTCTGAAACGGTATATGTTGTCTTTGGCAACAGCAAAATATTTTATTACTTAGACGATCAGGGATAATATTCAAAATATTTAACAAACAGTACATCATGGGCACTAACCACTCAGGATGAATGCCCCCATAGTCTGGGTCAGGCGGGGGTTGGTCTCCTATTAGGTCCCTTCAGTGCCAGATCCTGGGAGGCTGGGGGTGCGTCCCAGGATAGACAAGGCCAAGGGCAAAGGCAGCACTTGGGAAGCTCGCTCACAGCCCGTTATCAGCCTTGCGAGAGCGTCTCAGTGCGGCGAACCAAGGTCTGGTGGCGGATGCAGGCCTGCACGTGGGGTTTTCTGACCACATTCACAGCCGGCCCTAGGCTGAGCTTGACTGGCAGGAAGAGCTCATTCCATCCTCAGAGAGCACTATGAGGCTGGGACTACCGTTGTCCCACGTCACAGTGAGGCACAGGAGGTCACACAGCGAGTAAGTGGCAGAACCACGACCCGGCCCAGCCCTTCCCAGCGACTGCTGGGAAGCTTCTCCACGCAGCTTTTCTGCGCAGAGTGCGGCCATAGAAGCCCCGGCCTGAGGTTCACCTGCGCTCACTACCTGCGCAGGTGCTGGGCATGGCCGGCAGCGGGCGGGTCTTTCCGGGCCCGGGATTGGTGGAGGCTCCGGGGGACGAGGCGTGGCTGGAGAGTCCGCCCTCCCCAATCTCCTGCTCTCCCAAGCCTGCTGGTTCGCCCGCAAGCCGGTAAGGGAGAGAAGGTGGCAGTCAAGCATTCCCTCTGTCGCCGCGGCCGCGCGACGGACGGCGTGTTCTAGGCGCAGGGGCCTTTGGAAAGACTTGCGACTCTCCACTTGCCACAGACCAGCCGTGGGACTTCGGGCAAGATGTCACCTCTCGGAGCTAATTTTCCCCATCTACGAAATGGAATGACAACGACATGCAGGGCTTTTCAGGCCCGGTGCAGATTAAAGAAGCACCTATATGCAGGGACCCGGACATTTACTGTCACTCGTCTACATGGTTGGAAGCCCTGGGCAGTCAGGAAAGGCCGCAAGTGACAGGGGTCGGTGGACACTTGCGCCTCTTTGCCCCGGTGGGGGCGGGCAGCAGTGAGGAGCTTGGTTGGGTCCCGCGCCCCGGGCGCTGCGCTGCGCCCCAGCCTCCTGCCGCCTCCCCCAGCCCTCCGAGCTCCTCCGAAGGCAGAATCATTTCTCCTTCCTTTTCGCTTTTAATCACAAAATAATTTTGGTGCCCAGAAGCCTTCCTCTAGGAGGAACATTTGTGCGGGATGATATCAGCCTAATTAAGCCTTCAGCTTCGGGGCCTGATTTCTTTCCCCCCAGATCCCGGCGCTCCCTGCCAAGCAGCCCTGGCCGGCCAGGCGGTCGGCTACCTGCACATGCCGGGTTCTGGAGCCTTCGGCGCCCGTGCGCCCCCCTGCCCCCGCGCCATGATTGATATCTTGATTAGGCGCCAGGAGTTGGCGGACCAGGTGTTACCTCGGCGCGGGCTGGAGGCGGCGCGCTCTGCGAACCCGGCCCCGAAAGGCGCAGGCGTGTTCCGCCGCAGCAATGAGCCTTTGTTTGCCTTGGCAGCGCCGCGGCCTCCCTGGGGCCGGCCCCATAAAGGGTTTCTGTTCGGGCTGGAGGACTCATTGTCAAAAAATTGTCCCTCGAAAAATTAGCATGGTACAGTGGAGAAAGCGGAACGCCCGGCAAATGACAGCTGCTGGCCCCAGACAGGGGCCAGAAAGCGGAGTTTTGCGGGGTGCCCGCTCCCAGAGGCACCCCTCGCTCCAGGCCTGGAGAGGGACGGAGGGCTGGCAGAAGGGGCCGGCAGAGCAGGGGCAGGCAGGGGTCAGGTGAGGAGTGCAGCTGGAATTGGGGTTGATGGCTTACCTTCCCTAAAAGGTGAGACATCTCCCAGCGGCCAGGAGGCCAGGTCTTCGGTGTGGGGTGTTGGAGGGCTTCTGAGCCAGTGTCAGGCCGAGAGGGGCAGCTGGCCTGAAGAAGGGGGGTGAGGTGAGAGGGGGGAAGAAAGAGAGAGAGCGCGCCTAAAGGTTATGTGGTTAATTGAACATCAACAGCCACAGATACGATTATGCCCCTTTGTGTCTTTCTCCCAGTGTGTTGATGGAAAAGTAACTAGATTAAAAGCGCCGGGAGCTCGGGTTGGAGCGGCCGGGCAGTGGGGGAGAGCCCTTCTGAATGCCGACCCGGGGCTCCCGCAGTCCCAGCAAGGAGGGAAAACAGTCAATTAGAGAGGAGAGAAAAGATAGAGTGAGCTGTGACTTGGCATTTGCATAAAGGCTGGGGCCCCGAGGCTGCCACCCTTCGAGAGGGGGGCAAGGGTTCCCAGGAGAGAGGTTGGGGGTGTCATGGGGGTGAGGCACATGGTTACTGTTGAAAGTCTTCACCCAAAGCCCTGTGCACACACTGTACGAGAAGCAGAAGTAAGGGTGACTGGGTCTGTGTATGGCGAACGTTGACGTCTGCGCCTGCGTATTCTCATTTCCGTGAAGCTGGGGACATCCGCATTTCAAGTGGGTTGCACCTGTATAGCTTGTGTTGGCCTAACTCTCCATGTTGTGACCACGTGTGCAGATTTATGTAGGTGTGAAAGACAGAGAGGGGACTATTCCGTGGGGCCCCTCTGATGGGCCCTGCAGTATGACTGGGTCAGGGAGATGTGGACATACCAACTCCATCCCACCAGCACAGGCAGGCCAAGGCCTCAAGACTCCCTATGCCCTAAGGAGGCTGGACCTGGAACTAGCCCCCAGGCTCGCTGGGCATCTGAGCTGCCTGGAAAATCTTCCCAATCCTTCCAGTCCCCTGTTTCCATAAAGCCCCCTAAGCCTAGCCCCTGCCAAACAACCTCCTCCCTGAACAGGCAGATTTTAGGCTGAAAAGTTAGAGTCACACCAATCTGAGCTCCAGTGCCAGCTCCGGCTTCCTGACCTCACACACATGCCTGTGCTCTCAGAGTGACTGTCCCATCACAAAGAGACAATGCCATCCAAGTATAGGACTGTTTTAGGGTTTCAGTAAGATCCTGTACTGAAGTGGGAGGGAGTCTATACTATACCCCAGCTTGTCTGGGACTCCCAGGTTACGCCTGGGGCCCTGCATTACTATTCATATTCATAGTGCCCCTCACTCTCACACACGTCCCTCTTTGGATTACAAATTATGCTACTACCCCAAACATAAGTGGGGCTGCAATTTTCTTCTTCCCTCACCTTCTCCTTGCCTTCCCTCTCTGATTGTCTGATGCATGGCTCCACAGCATCCATCTGTGCCCTCCTGGAATGGAACTCCTGGAGCTCACTGATGTCCCTCACACCATGAGACTAGTTAATGCGCAACAGACATTCATAATGCGCAACAGACATTCAGTGGCTTGACCGCTGCCCAGGAACAGAGCTGCCTCAGGGACTCTGGGTGTGGCAGGCTGCCTCTACACGCTGAGTCCAGAGCAGGGCAGGACATAGGGAAGACAACCACTGAGAAACAACAGCGTAGAATCATGTTTCTGCATCCACTGTCCATCGGAATAGTTCTTTTTTTTTTTTTTTTTTGAAGTGGAGTTTTGCTCGTTTCCTGGGCTGGAGTACAATGGCATGATCTTGGCTCACTGCATCCTCCCTCTCCCGGGTTCAAGTGATTCTCCTGCCTCAGCCTCCTGAGCAACTGGGATTACAGGCGCCTACCACCACGCCCCCGTTAGTTTTGTGTACTTTTAGTAGAGACAGGGTTTCTTCACATTGGCCAGGCTGGTCTCGAACTCCCGACCTCAGGCGATCTGCCCACCTCACCCTCCCAAAGTGCTGGGATTACAGGTGTGAGCTATCACTCCCCGCTGGAATCGTCTTTTGTGTGGATAAGGCCTTCTACCCCTATTGCAAAGTAACTCCCTACCTGTCCAGGCCTAAGACTTTTGTCTTTCCCTGACTACTGGGGATCCAGCCTCAGTCAACCTGTCACCATAAGGACAGCTATGATCCAGGTTGGTGACGGCCTCACTTAAGCACATCACTCACTTCACAACAGACCAGCAAACAGGCCCTCACTCATTTGGTGTAGCTCCTCCTGGTTAGGGACATTTACCACATAGACCAGGACCCTACATAAGTGACTCAAGAGGACAGCCTGGGTGCCTCGGAGCAGAGCTCCAAGCCTTTGTAGCCAGGATGCACTTCAAAGCTACCTCCCAGTGGGCTTCTCAAATATGGCTAATTCGGCATGCAAATTTATCTATACTCACTCCTGAGACACCCTGGCGTGAGAGTAAAGAGACATTTAAAGGTGAAAATCTACTAAGGCAAAGAGTATGATAGAGGAGCCATCAGCAAAATTTCAGAAGCTTGAATGCAGATGGGAGAGGGGTGATTTCTTTAGCTCTGTGGAGAAAGCTGAAACCGAGGTTTATAGAACAGGAAGTCCAAAAAACCGGCCAGAACCCCAAAAAGGCTCCTAAATTGGAGACATGTACAGAGATACAAAAATACTTTGCATATGAAGGATCAGGCAAAAGAGTAGCACTGGACAGCGGTTGCTTACAGACAGGGGAACACAATTTTGAAATTTTATATGCAGGCAAATTAATCAAGCATAAAGGTAGAGTAAAGTGTGGGTGGTAAAAGTTCTCAAAATCTCACTTCCCATATACTCTTTCTCAAGAAGCTACTGAAGGATGTGCGAGGCTTTGGAAAAGCTAGAAAGATGTAACAGAGGTTCAGAATCCTTAGTGAAGGAGAGGGCAAGACGGCTTCCTGGAGAAGGGGGCATTTGCAGTGGATCTCAAGGGATGGGTAGGGCGTCAATGAGGAGAGGTGGGGGATGGAGCAAGTAGAATTTCCAGGTAATGGGAACAGCATTGGCTGTGGTGTGGCGATAGGGGAGGAGGCTCAGGGCTAGCTTGCCTCCTGTTTGGTGAAAACAGGAAGAGATGCAGTTGGTTGAGGCCTGACCACAGCAGGCTTTGAATGGCAAGGAATCAGAACATAATTCCACAGGCCTGAAGAACCATGAAGAGGGGCCCTAGGGCTGGGAGATGAGAGAGGCTGGAGGGGCCCCTGGGAAGAGGGCCACGGCAGAGGGGACACAGGACTCCAGGCTGGGTCTGGGCACTGGTGTTAAAATAGCATGTCAGAAGGGTCCTCCTGAGAGGTGTGGGCAAGCCAGGGTGAAGACCATTGGGTTGGAGGGACTGAGGAGGGGCAGAAGAACAGCTGTCTGTTCAATTTCCCAGAAGAGGAAGGCTCTGAGCAGGGCCGAGGGACTGGATGGTCACCAGGACATAGAGCCACCCACTTTAAAACCTCTGGGTGGCCCCATCCTGGGCCTGAAGGACGCACTCCACACTGCTCCTGGACCACTGAGCCAAAGCTGAGCCAGACGCCCATGCCCAAGGCTCCCAACGATGTTTCGGTATCTTCCAGGCTGTCTTACCACCCAGTGCCCTGCCTTTCACCCTGTGAAATGAAGCCACTGTTTGAAAATGCAGTTGGGGGCACCACTCGACTCCCACTCCCCGCTGCCAGCCACACCACATTAAGAGGGCAGGGTATGGAGTGCCGGTGGGTAGCAACAGTATATAACCCAGGCATATTACCTCCACTTCTCCACCTGTAAAATGGGATTTATGGTAGCACCTGCTTGCTGGGGTGGTTGTGAGGATGAAATGAATCTGAAAAGGGGAAGAGTTTAGTTAGAATAGAGCCCGGAACCCAGGGAGCCATTATCATTATCCTTATTAATGTTACTGGTGAGTCTTAAAGAGCGAACAGAGACAAGGATGACTTTGGGGGCAGCTGAGCCAAAAAGTGGAGATCCAAGAGGGTTTGCGTGGCCTGGCCTGCCGTGCAGCTTTGCAGGGTCTCGCTCTCCTCTGTGGCCTGGCTAGATGGGATCTCATATCCTTAGGGCCTGTCCAGAGACGCAGCCCAGGAGCCATGTGGATGGGAAGGAAGTCACAGTCACTATTTCTAGGGGGTGTGGACAGCAGCAGGCTTGTTTGGGTTTGGGTTCTGACTCACCAGCGTTCCTACCCTGGCCAAGGGGCCCCTGCCTCACACTGGGGCCCCCTGCCTTCCTGCTGTCCTTCAGTACATGGTGGTGGACAGCACTTTTCGAGGGATCCACCCAATCAAGGTTCAGGGTGGAAGAGTTTACAACCCCGCACGCCCTCTCCACTGTGATCTCCCTTTCATTCTGTCCCACCCAGGCCCCACGCTCCTCGGCCTGGTTTCTAGGAGCTCCATGAGTGGGGAATTGAATGGTAGCTATTTTGTAGTATGGGGAAAATTTCAGGACCAGACAGGCTCTTCAGGGCTATACAGCAATCCATGAACATGGCAATCACCTCTTGCTGGCTCAGGCCCTGGGGTAACACAGATAAGAGCAGGGAAGGCTGAGTGGACACTGACCCTTCAGGTTTTAAGAGGAAGGCCAGCTGCCCAGCGTTGTCTAGGAGTGGCAGGGGCGGTGCCCCCACTCTAGATACCATCTCATCTGAGGGCTTAGTCGGTAATTTGGGTATGCTGCCACCAGGTGGCTCCCCTTTAAGGCCCTCCTCAACCACGGAGCAAACCTTGGATTCTATCCCTTACTCAGGCTGGCCCTCGAGGACCTGAATACCAGGCCTCCTCTGCCTGGGTATCCTCCAGCCCCCTCTCCTGCCCTTTCATCTCTCTCTTTGTAGCCCCACCCACCCCTCATCCTCGGGTCAGAGGTTCCTAGTCCTAAATAAGCAGAAGCTCCACTCTGCCCCTCCCAGGTTCATCCCAGCCCTGCTCAGCTGAGCTTCCCTGAGAGTCTCAGCGCTTCCTCCACTCCCAGCCAGCACCTCAAACCAGCTCCCCTGCTG